GCTTGATTCTCCCAGGAATGGGCAACATCCAAGTGAGGGCGGAGGAGGAAAGAGGAGGCACTTGTAAGATGTGCTTTCTTGCCTGAGTTGACAGCTGTGGGGTGGTAGATAAGGAAGCACTCTATTTGGAATTCTGCCCTCTGGGGGGTCCTAGTCACTCCTGAGTTATTGGGAGCAAAATTACTAAGCCCCTATGAGCTTGTTTTGTTTGTCTGTTAAGTGACAACAATAATAATGTCCACAAGGAATTCAGAAGCTCAAATAATAAACAACAGCGCTCATCTTCAGACACGAGCACCAGCTATGTACTAGGTCCCGGACTGGGCGATTCACACGCATTATCTTGTCCAGTTATCACAACCGTTCCCAAAGGTAGTGGAGGAAAGCAGAGCTCTGAGAGGTGAAGGGTCAAGCTCACCCCACTGCACCTCCCTGCTTTACAAACTGTCCAGCCCTGAATGACTGTAATTTATTTATTTTTAATTGAATTTATTGGGGCGGCATTGGTTAACAATTTATTTAGGTTTCAGGCATACAATTCTATAATACATCATCTGTATATTGTATTGTGTATTCACCAACCCAAGTCAAGTCTCTCTGCTTCCATCACCATTTATCCCATGATACCCTCTTGGTTGTAATTTCTTGTTTGTAATTTGTTATTAGACCTTCTGGAGTTCTTCAGCTCATTTCCTGAAGACTTTTGCTAAAAAGTTCTTCCAGAGGATTACAGAGTTGATCAAACCAGTAGACTTAACATCTATTTGTTGAGCATCTACTGTGTGGTAGGGACGGTGCTGGGACTCAGCAGAGACCACCACGGACAAATTACCCTCAAAGAGGATATATTTGTGTGTGTGTGTGTGTGTGTGGGGAGACTGATAGATGAAAGCAAACAAGTGTATAATGATGAGAAAGAAACATTGAATGGTTGCCTCCTGTGCACTCCCTACTGGGGATTGAGCCTGCAACCCGGAAATGATGAGAGTGCTGGGGAGAAAATAACACAGGGAAAGGGGTTGAGTGCGATTTTATGTCCAATGTTCAGAGAAGGAGCTATGACGACAGCTGTGTTCATGGCTTAAGACATTAGGGTCGCCGAAACTGGTTTGGCTCAGTGGATGGAGCATCAGCCTGTGGACTGAAAGATCCCGGGTTCAATTCCAGTCAAGGGCATGTACCTGGGTTGCAGGCACATCCCCAGTAGGAGGTGTGCAAGAGGCAGCTGATTGATGATTCTCTCTCATTGATGTTCCTCTCTATCCCTCTCCTTTCCTCTCTGTAAAAAAATAAAAAATATATATATATTTTAAAAAGACATTAGGGTCAACTGGGATGTACTCTCCGTAAGGACAGGCCTTGGGTTCTTGTTCATCCCCGTGGCTCAATAAATCTTTGTTGAATGAGTAAACAAACAGCCATCATCTCAGACCTACCGGAGAGATGTCCACTTATGACAGGCATGGGTTTTGATTCTGCTCCTATCAACTGACACTTCACGGAGAACCTTCTGTGTGCGGGCACTAGTCCAGCCTCTGTGGCTGTCGAATAACCCCTTTCCCTTGAGGTTCTTCACTGGAGATGATGATGAAACTAGCAATTTAACTGTCTAGAAGAGAAGGGAGCAAAGAAGAAGAAGGAAAGAGCGAGGGGTTAAGTACAAAATGGAACAGTTTTCAGGGCCCGGAAGGAGTTCAGCTAGGGGATTGCCTGACATTTTTTTTCTTTTCTTTCTTGGTGCAAAAAAGAACTAGTTCTGCTTTTTGGACTGGGGCTCGCTGAGTCAGGGGTTCAAAGAGAATAGTATGAGGATCGAAGTGGCAGATGTCATCTGCAGCAGATGGCGATGCCCCAGAGACAGACTGTGGCCTTGAAGATGCTTCCCTCCGCTCCCTCCGGGCCAGGAATCAAGGTCAGGGGCAGACAACCAAGCTCAGATCCCTGGGGTCCCAAACCCAGCCTTTCAGCAGGGTCAGCTATTCCCAAGAACGTCACCCCTTGGACGCCACACCAGGTTCAGCAGAGTTTCAGAGGCCAAGGGTGTGAGAAGAATTGTCCCAGCATCTGTTACTAACCATTATTTCCATCCGTTTGGCCGCGCTGGCTCCTCGGCCCCAAAGATGCTGGGTCAGGCCTTTGTTCAGCCCCACAAGAGGAGAAGATGATTATTAAAAGAACAGATTTCGCATTCCATATTTACCCCAGATGACACTGCCTTCATCCCTAAAATAGCTGCAGATCGCCTGGGTGGAACTTGCTAGTTCCTTTTTATCTGGTTATTTTGCAACTGTTTACGGAGACCATCACCATAGTGATATTATCAGAGCGGGTCAAATGAAATTCCTAACGTTTGGGTTGTTATTGGTTTTTTTTCCTTTGTACCTCGGAACATGACTTTTTCACCTCGACCCAGCTCTTTCATTTCTTATAACCCTTAAGTTCTCAGCTCCCAAGTCAGCAGCAGCCTCTGATTCCCAGCAGTTAAAACCGCAGAGGTGGTCCGCACTCGGATGAGGAATGGGAAGGGCTCGGGCTGAGTTTCCAAACTGGAAACTATGTACCAGAAACCTCCTTTCCCTCAGATAAAACTTGGGCTCAAGTTTCAGGGTGTTGAAAGAGGCACTAAATAAACGAAGAGTCTAAAGAACCTTTAGTGTTTGGACCAAGAAACATGGCTATAGAGTTCAACAAATAAACACAGCTGGCGGGGGGTGAGCCTTTAGCAAACAATTATCTTCTTGATTATTTCTTTTTTCCTCATAATCGTCATCTTGGACAAAAGCCTTTATTATAACATTCTCCTAAACTGTGAGTTTGTATGACTTTTTAATATAAAACTTGGCAATGGGCAGGAAAAGTCTCGACAATGTGCTCTTCCTTTGATGTGAAGTACTCGGGGCTTCTAAGAAAATTATGGACGTGAGAAAGGAGTACGTACGAAGATGTTCATTGTTAATGAAGGTGAAAAACTGGAAATAATCTAACTGTACCACATTAAGGGATTGCTTTAAAAAATCATGATCCAGCCATACAATGGATACAAAGCCACCATTAAAAATGATGCCACAGAAGAGCCTGGGCTGGTGTAGCTAAGTGGTTAGAGCAACAGCCTGAAACATGGAAGGGTTGAAGGTTCAATTTTCAGTGAAGGGCACATGCCTGGGTTGCAGGTTCGATCCCTGGCCCCAGTTGGGGCACGTGTGGGAGGTAATCAGTCGATGTGTCTCTCTCACATTTTGATGTTTCTCTTCCTCTCCCACCCCTCCACTTTCTCTAAAAAAATCAATGGAAAAAATATCCTCAGTTGAGAATTAACAACAACAAAAAACATATATATTATGCCACAGGAGAATCTTTAATAACATAAAATATTTATAATGTGTTATTAGGCAGGGGAAAGCAGGTTACAAAAATGTGTGCATAGCATGATCCTATTCTTGTAAAATGTATATATACTATACACAATAGGAAAAGATCAGAAGGATAGGTTCTAAAAGTATAGGTCATTATTTCTTAGGTATTTTTCTTTGTGAGTATTTTATCTATAACACTTTTACAATAAGCATGCATTTCTGTAGTCAGATGTTTAAAGTGCCATTTTTAATGATGATGAAAATAATAATAAGCTATCAGACCTTCTAAAATCATCTGATGGTTCTTGTGGGGAGAAATAGAATCTTACTCCAGGAGCTCATAAAGCTCATAAGCTAGAAAGTGCTCAATGATCTCTTATTGTGGTTGGAAGATAATAAGTAGTGTAGCACATGGGACTAATAAATATTTAGCAACCATGGGTTTTCTGCTTATTTAGAGTTCAAGGTCAAAGAACATACAAGGCTGACATAACCAGGTATAACATACATGAGACCACATCACAAAACTGGTAAATGTATTTACAAAATACCAGCAGTCATTCAATGTTTGGTGAGAACAGTGAAGATTGTTGGGGGAGGGGGGCTCAGAGAGGGGGACCACACATGAAAAAAATTGCATACTATATGCCACCTACTTATTGCTTACCTTATTTATTTTTAAATATATATATTTTATTGATTTTTTACAGAGAGGAAGGGAGAGAGATAGAGAGCCAGAGACGTCGATGAGAGAGAAACATCGACCAGCTGTCTCTTGCACACCCCCTACCGGGGATGTGCCCGCAACCAACGTATATGCCCTTGACCGGAATTGAACCTGGGACTTTTCAGTCTGCAGACAGATGCTCTACCGCTGAGCCAAACCGGTTTCGGCTGCTTACCTTATTTAAATCTCATGACAATTCTACATGGTAGGTATCATACCCTGTTCTAAAAATGTGGAAACTAGGATATGGAGGTTCAGTCACCTGCCCTTTCAACATTGCAGGGAGAAAAAAAATATATGCATTTATTCATCTAGGAGAGGTATAGATCCCAGTTTGTGACTGGAATGACTGAAATGAAAGGAAAAGAATGGATGGAGAAGAAAGACCTGTACATTGGTGGCATGGTTCCAAAAGTATTTTACCAGACTGACAAACCTTTAGTTTGCTGGCTGGAGAAAATGATAATAATTTTAACTACTCTCCTTTGAGCCCTTGAGGATGATGTTGATATAAAAATGGGGATTACAGGGTGTCATTATATTCAGCCTCACTGGCCTGCGGGAAGTGGTGGAAGTTATAGCAAAAATGTGCTAGAGAGTAAATTACACAGAACCCGAGGGTCTATCATCATTATGATCATCACTCAACACATCTAAACACCTCTTTGTTTGAGGCAATGTGGAGGAGTAAAGAAAGGAAAGGTTTTGGGATCAGACAGATCTCCGTTCAAATCCTGGCTCACTATCCATGATCTTTATCCAGCTTCACAGGCTCCTCCTGAAGACATCAGGCTTTTATGGAAATCCTGCTTAAATTGATCATCCCAAACATTTATTATGTTGGAAGCTATCATGGGGAACTCTTTAGACCTGTATTAGTCAGGACACTGCCAGCTGCTGAAACAAAAAGTCCCCAACTCTTAGTGGCTTACTACAAAACTGGTTTATTTTCTCCGAGACATATCTGATTGGATGTTTTCAGTGGACTGTCCTAGATGGGGCTTCAGACTTTTTCCACCTTGGAGTCTTCCCTTGGATCCTCTGCTGGCTGGAGAGAAAGAGAAGGCATCTTATGGACATGTCTGGAGGTGGCACATGTCATTTCCTCCCACATTTCATTGGTCAAACCCGGTCACATAACTCAAGGGAGAATGGCAGTTATAGACTATGCTGTGCCCAGGAAAAGGAAATGAAAGGGGAGAACATGTGGCCTGTTAGTGCTACATACTTGCAGCCATCACAGATAGCGTAGGGCAGAGGATGAAAAGCCATCCAGAGAAAGCCCAACAGAACCACGATGGCAGCTTCCAGCAATGGTGCCCAACAGAGAGATTTTTGGCAGTTAGATCTTTACTGACACATATAATTTTTAAACTGGACCAGACCTTGCAGGATCTTGGATCAAGTATATCTGATCCTTTCTGGCTGTCAATCAAGCAAGATTTACTATTGTATTTAGTCTTGAGATCAGGAAGTGTAGGTCTTCTTTTTTCTTTTTCAAGATCCTAAGATCTTTGCATTTCCATATACACTGAGTGGCCAGATTATTATGATTTCTGAGAGCATAATAATCTGGCCACTCAGTATACGTATATTAGAGGCCTGGTGCACAAATTTGTGCTTGGGTGGGGTCCAGCCAGCCTGGCCAGGGGGAGGGGACATGGGCAGTTGGCAGGCCTGCCTGCTGGTTGAACTCCTGGTGGAGGGCACAATTTTTATATTAGCCTTTTATTATATAGGATATACACTGAGCGGCCAGATTATTATGCATTCAGAGATCATAATAATCTGGCTGCTCAGTGTATATTTAAATCAGCTTGTCAATTTCTACAAAACAAACTTGCTGGGATTTTAAATTGGATTGTGTTGAATCTGTAGATCATTTTGGAGAGAATGAACATCTTAACAATACTGAGTTTTCCGACCCATGAGTAGGGCACATCTATTTGTTTAGATCTTTAATTTCTCTCAGCAATGTTTTCTAGTTTTTGAAGTACATAGAACTTGCACGTCTTTCATTAAATGTATCCCTAAGTATTTTGTACTTTTTGATGTCATGGCCAATGATATTTTACAACTTTTTCTAATTGTTTATTGCTCTGATCTTTTATTCCAGCCTTTCATTAGACTGGTCTTCAAGTCTTGCCATCAGTTCTGCATCTGGTTTAGTTTCATTTAGAACATTGCAATGTCTGATTGGAATGAGGGATGAGCGCTTGGGAGGAGTTGAGGATAGCCTAGAGATTTGCATCCTAGATGAGTGTGCTTGGAGTTTATCTGGCTTCACTCATCGAGTACCATATTCCAGGTGCTAGGCTAATTGCTTGTGATCTGATTCACAGCCCCTGCCTCAAGGAGCCCCATAAGGGCAACTTACAAGTGAAAAGGTGACTTGATAAGATGTATTCAGTACAGGGGTTCCCATGGGAACATTCAGCAGGCCCCACACAGCTTTTGAGGGGATTGTCAGAGAATACTCCAAGGAGGAGGAAGAGGTGATGATTCTTTGAGTCTGAAAGGTCAGCCTTACACACATTGCAGAGACCATCCCAGGCCTGGTGGGCGGTTGGCTGGCCAGCTTAATAAACTAAACATGAATTCTCCCAAATAGGCATATAAAAACTCCAACAGCTGGCCCACATGTGAGAGGCTTTCATATAACTCTGAGCAAGACCCCACAGATGGTCAGGATACAAATACTTCTGGTCCAGCAGGAGGCAGCTGCAAGTTCTCCCAGGTACCTATTAGGAAAGCAAAAACAAAGCCGTAAGATGACGATGTCTAACCTCAGACTAAAGTATCGTCTTGGCACCGGAGACTTTGGGGATGCATTAAAACAAAGTGGATTGCTAGTGGTCTGTCTACTGCCCTCCTCCTGCTACATGTTCTTTCAAGATGCGGGGTGGAAAAAGTTGATCTAAGCTGTCTAGCCAAGGCTGCCTCCTCTACAAACCACAGTGTTCTGTCTTCAAAGGAAATCAGCATTTTTTGTGCCTGTATTCATTCCATAGGGTTCCAATAGCTAGAAATTTCTGAGACCCAAAAGGAGCCTGTTTCATTAATTTGCATGAATTTACCCAGAATGCATGCCTGTGATGACCATGTGTTTTGGGTTGTTTTGTTTTTGTTTTTCTACTCTTCAAAATGTCTTTCTCCACCTATTAGTTATAGGCCCCTGATTTCCCGTTATCAAGAAAACAGCTCCCCTTCCCCATTATCAGGTCCCCATTCCTGCCAGCCCCAAGGGTGAGCTCATGACTGAGACCTGCTGGTAAATGAAGTCATAAGCATGGATGAGGTTGTCTAAGGAGAAAGCACAAAGTAAAAGAAGGAGGGACCCCATAATTGAGCCTCGAGGAACCCCATCATTTGGTGGTTGTGTAGAAGGGAATGCGTCCACAGAGAATACAGAGGAGCCATTATGAAGGTAGGATTAGGACCAAGATACTCATGTGATACCATGGAAACCAATATGAGAGGATGATTCAGGAGGTAGAAGGGACCAACAATGTCATGATGTTATGGAGAGTTAAAGGAGATGGTTTTGACATGAGGGAGAGGTGACCGTAGGGCCATTTTATTGGAGAAGTGGAGGAGTGGAATGGGAAATTAGAAAGTGGGGAGAGGAAATACTGCCAATTCTGTAGCTGCAAAAGGCAAGAGATGGGGTGGTAGGCTAAGGGGATGTGGGATTTAAGAAAAATATTTTTTAAACATAAGGCCTGAGACACTTAGGCATGTTTGAAACCACAGCAATCATCTGATTGAGAGGAAGTAGTTGAACAATCTGGGGGGAGAAGGGATAATTGAAGTGTAAGAATCCCAAGAAATAGATCCCCAAGAGGGAATATTGTTTACAGCATTCCCCTAACTTACGTGGAGGGCCACCCTGTTCATGCAGTTTTATTTTTTTATTTTATTGATTTTTTTACAGCAAGTAAGGGAGAGGGATAGAGAGTTAGAAACATTGATGAGAGAGAAACATCAATCAGCTGCCTCCTGCACACCTCCTACTGGGGATGTGCCCGCAACCAGGGTACATGCCCTTGATTGGGATGGAATCTGAGACCTTTCAGTCCGCAGGCCGATGCTCTATCCACTGAGCCAAACTGGTTAGGCTATGCAGAGTTTTTTATTTTTATCTTTATTGTTGAGATTATTACAGATGTCCCTCCCTTTCCCCCTCCCATAGCTCCCCTCCAACCAGTTTCCACCCCACCCTAGGCCCTTGCCACCCTATTGTCTGTGTCCATAGGTACTGCATACATGCAAGATCTTTGTCTAATCTCTTCCTGCACCCCCACATCCCCTTCCCTCTGAGAATCATCAGTCTGTTCCATTTCCATGCCCCTGATTCTATTTCATTCACTAGTTTATTCTGTTCATCAGATTTTTTATTCATTTGATTTTTAGATTCACTTGTTGATAGATATGTATTTGCTGTCACTTTGTTATGCAGCGTTTATTTTGATCTGTATTCTGTAGAAAACGCTATGACCCAAATTATGTCAAAAACCCATCCCGAACCAATAAGAATGGCCAAGACCATACTTTTGCTTCAGCCAATCAGAATCCTCTCTTCTGGAGCTGGAGGTGGGCTCAACTCCACCCAAACTAAATGAGGATGAGGAAAGGTGAAGTTATAGAAAAGGGAGGGTGTGCATATGTGGGAGATACCTGAGATGTGGCCTCTAAACCAGCTGAATGCTGGGGGAAATGAAATTACCAGGTAGTGTTCTTTCCCTCTGGTCTAGCGAGGGGTTAAAGGCTGGCTAATTCCAGAGTTCTCTTGTATCTCCAAAGACAAAATAAAACATCTGAAACCACTGTTTGTAATCCAAGATCCACAACTCAGGATGCAGTCCCAGGCCTTTAAATCAGAGGTTATTTAGGAGCTAAGCAATCCCCAGCCCTTGGACACTTGTGCATTTATTAATCCAACAGTTGCAGCTGTGGATTGAAGAAGAAAGATAGAAACCAGGTTGGGTGAACTTCTTAATTGAAGAAGGGAAGATAGAAACCATGTTGGGTGAACTTCTGAGCGATGCCTGCTTTTACGTGTCCTGTAGTAGCTGAGGAGCATCTCAGAAAGATTTAATACTTAGTTTCACCCGGAGATCGCTTCATTCCTTGGGTGGTGGTCCTATTTGGCTCTGGGCTTCCCTGCCACCCTGCCTCAATTCAGCAAACACATATGTGGTCACCTACTGTGTGCAAGTTGTCATGTTATATGCTGGAATAGAGTATCATCTTTGGATATTTACAAAGCATTTTCCTACACATGATCTCAATTTAGTGATTCTGAGAAAAAAAGTTGAGTCAGAAATACAAAAGTGAGGATGGATTTATCCACTTATCTGTGTAATGGTAGGCAAGTCATTTCATCTAAGCCTCAACTTCTTCTTCTATAAAATGACAGTAATAGAAGTTCCTACCTCAAAGGATTATTGGGAAGAATCAATGAGACAATAGAACAGCTTATAGCACATACCCTGTTTCCCCAAAAATAAGACAGTGTCTTATATTAATTTTTTCTCCCAAAGTTGCACTAGGTCTTATTTTCAGGGGATGTCTTATCTTTCCATGTGCTAGGTCTTATTTTCGGAGGATGTCTTATTTTTGGGGAAACACGGGTAGTAACCAATCAATTAAAAGTAGCCATTACTTTATTATTCATTTTTGCCCACACAACGATGCTAATATTACTTCACTTCACTGGTCTTCATTGAGCACCTACTATGTTCTAGGTGCTGAAGATCCCTAGTGACCAAAGAGCAGTTATACAGAAAAGAAGAGGTCCCAGAACTGAGCGCTCAGAAAAGGAAGAGGAAAAGAAAAAAGAAAAAGAAGAGGAACTCTATCACAGGGAACAGAGACCTGAGCACCAAGCGAGGTGCACCAACGAGAAGTCAGCAGTAAAACGAGGCCCCCAAATAGCCCCTGATTTCTGCAACCTGAAGTTTCCAGGTCCATGGGTGGAGGCAGAAGCTCGACCCAGACTGATTTGAGAAGCTGTTGGAGTTGGTGTGGAAACAAAGTTTTGATGTGAAGGGGAGCGAGAAAACGGGGAGGTGGCTGGCGGAAATGTAGGATCAAGGAGATTTTTGTTAAAACTTTTTTTAAAACATGAGATATTGTGGCATGTTATTTCCAGAAGGTGGGGATAATCCAGTCTAGAGGGGGACATTGGTGACTAAGGAAAGAGGATGCAGAGTGTCATGGAGGGGTTGGTTCTGATAGGTGCACAGAGCCTTCATTCACTGCAAGAGTAGGGAAGGCAGAGAACTTGGGTGAGATGCAGAGTTGTTGGTAGGTGAGATAGCTCCTGTCTGATGGGTTCTGTTATCTCTGACGTAAGAGGCAAGCTCACTGAAACCGGTTTGGCTCAATGGATAGAGTGTCGGCTTGGGGACTGAAAGGTCCCAGGTTCCATTCTGGTCAAGGGCATGTACCTTGGTTGTGGGCACATCCCCAGTAGGGGGTGTGCAAGAGGCAGCTGATCGATGACTCTCATCGATGTTTCTGGCTCTATCTCTCTCCCTTCCTCTCTGTACAAAAAATCAATAAAATATATTAAAAAAAAAAAAAGAAAGAAAAGAGGCAAGCTCATCTGCTCAGAGTGAAGATGAGAAGAGACAAAGGAGGAAGAGTGAAAAATCATCCTCTTGGAGTGTGAGGAATTGATTACAGCAGGGAAATTTGTGGTCATTAATTTAAAGTGATTCTAGTCACTTAATTCCCAGTCATGTTTGTATAATATATTCTGACTTAAGCATGTTAGTCAAGTTAGAAGGGATGGAACAAAAGGGTAATGGGTTTTTGCAAGGAAGTGAGTATAATGATCATTACTAAGCTGGTTAGGAGGGAAGTGAGCACGAGGGGGGAGAGAAAAGTGAAAATCTGGCAGGTCAGGGTTTGCAGGTCTTGATGAGGTTGAAAAAATGCCTGCGTGTGATATTGCAACAAGGAGGCTAACGTTGGATTTGAGATCTTTACAATTGTGCTTCCTGAGATTGTGCAATTATAGGAGAGGGCATCTGAAGACAAGAGAAGGGAAAACTCATTGGTGGGGAAGAAATGAATGAGGGAGAAATCAGTAAGATTTCTGACGGATTATGCTTATGGAGGTTGAAATCATAAAGTAAGGTAGAGGAGGTGAGATTTTCCCACCTGCCACTCCTCCTCTTTGTTCTCAGTTCATGAGAATTGACAAAGAGGAGAAGTGGCAGGTGGGAAAATACGATAGTGAGAACTTGAAGGGGATTGGGTCTTTGAAAGTGGCAGGGAGGAGAAACAATACTAAAACTATTTATGGTGCTTGCCTGCTTGTAGGCAGTCATGTTTAATGTCACATGGCCCTAGGCTCATAGCAATAGTGGACTGGTCAAGGGGTGAGCTCTGACCTATGGGCAGCCAATCTGTGGACGTGAGCTGTCAACGCTAAGAGTTCATAGAATTCTGTCTTGAGATCTGAATTATGAAACAAAAAGAATTTGCCAGTTGATATAGCCAGTTGATGCAGAGAATAAAAGAGGACAAAGGTCACCTGGATGGACCTTACACAGGCTGGAATGTCGAGGGAATAGGGTTGAAAGCTGAAGATGCCAGACAGGAAGAATGTATCAGATGCATCAAAAGCAGCAGAAAGAAAGGAAGAATGTAGCAGATGCATCAAAAGCAGCAGAAAGAAAGGAAGAATGTAGCAGATGCATCAAAAGAAGCAGAAATGGGAGTAGCCATGCTGGGTTAGTTCCCAGCCCTCTTATTATGAGGTAACAACTTTCAAAGGTTTTTGAGCAGAGAAGCAACATAATCAAATCTGGGGTTAAGAATGTAGCCTCTGATCCCAGACTTTGAAAGCATTAACTTTGTGATCTTGGGCAAGTTACTTAACCTTTCCGTACCTCAGTTCCCTCATCGGTACAGTGGGAAGTATAGCACTGCCCTCATAGGGTTGTAGCGAGGATCACATGAGAAAATACACGTAATGCATTTTGAACAAGGCTTCCTTTCAATCTTATTTTCTTCAGTTAAACAGTTTAAGTGTCGCTTCTTTCTCAAACTTTCCCTCATGCCCTTATTTATCCCTTGGCTTCCAGGAGGGACACCCTCTTTTCTTGGTCCTCCTCCGTTGCCTTGCTGGTTCCTCTTTATCTTCTTGATCTCTTCTCTCTACACTCACCTCCTAAATGAGCTCACCTGGTTGTCTTATGCTCTTCAGTACTTTAAACTATCATTTGTTAGCTAATAGTTCTCATAAGTTTATCACCAACTCCAACTTCTTCCCCCAACTCCAAGCTTCCATGATTTCTTATTTGGCATCTCCATTTTAACTTCCAGAGGCAATTTCAAACATAGTTTCCTCCAAACAGACTCTTATGCTACCCCTCCCCCCAAAAAAAAATCCGTTTCTCCTATAATTTTCCACAATCAATAAATGGTAAATCCTCCCAATGTTGAACAAGCTAAGGATCTTAGTATCATTCTTGACTCATTTTCATGCCCACCGCCAATCCATCAGTAAAAATCCAGAATGTGGTCTCTTCGTGCCCCCTCCATGTTACTGCCCTGATAAAAGCACCTTTGTCTCTGCCTTGGGTTACCTCTTCGGCTTTCCTTTGTGAGAATTAAATGAGTCATTACCTGTAAAGCGGTCAACAGTGTCTATCACATAGGAAGCCCCATTAAGTGCTTTTCAAATAAATAAAACATGCCTTGCACACAGAACTAGCTCTCTCACAACCCTAGTCCCCCTACAGTCCATTCAGAACACAGCAGCCTCCTGATCTTTTTAAAGCCCAGGGCAGAGTCCCGCTACTGCCCTCTGCACCTCTCGGAGTGGTTCCCACCCTCTCCCCTTGCTCAATCTGGGACAGCCACTTTGTCCCATCGGACTGTCCCCATTGGGTGTTTGCCCTTGCTTGTGGCTCCTTCTGATTAAATATTACTATGTTTGGCCTCCTCTGGCCTCATTTTACTCTGAGTTTTTCGCCACGTCTCCAATCACCTGACACTCTTATCTATTTATAGTAGTTGATTGTCTCCCCTGCAATATTCGAGATCTGCAACAATGACTGTCTTGTTCATTATTTTATCCCTAGAGCCTTCTACTTGTATACAGTAGGCACTCAATACTAAGTGAAAAGAATCCCTTCTCTGAATTCCCCAAAACAGGTCTGAATCATTCTTGTGGGACTTATATCACTAAGTTAGTGGCAGGTTGCATTCTACTGAGTTCTCTGGGTTAGCAGAGAGTATAGGACATGGTAATAATTCCTGCCATTTATGCAACACTACAATTTACAATCCCCGCATAGGTGACCGGATTTGATTCTCAGAAGAGAGCAAGCTAGGGAGAGTAGGGATAGCATCCCAGGTCTCCTGCCTTCTAGAATAAGCTCAACAAATATTTATTGAATGAAGAGGGGGAAATTAAAATATCCGAATCATTCTGTGGAGGCAGCCCTACTGGACAAATGGGCTGGTTCTCTGTAGCACGTGTAAAAATACAGCACGGAACATTTATTGAGCCCAGTTTTCTAATCATTTTCTGTGTCATCCTCACAGCTATCCTGTAGCTGGTAGCTAAAAGGACATTTTTATGTCTTGTTCACCTTTTATCTCTAGGTGCCTCAAACAAGGCCTGGTATATAGTAAGTGCTCAAGGCTCTTTCTTGTTATTACCTTAAATTCTCACCTGAGGGTATTTTTCCCCCATTGATTTCTAGAGGGTGGGGGCAGAGAGAGAGTGAGAAACATCGACCTGGGAGAGACACGCAGATTGGTTGCCTCCCCCACGTGCCCCTACTGGGGCTGGGGAACCTGCAACCGAGATACATGCCCTTGACCGAGCATCGAACCCCTGACCCTTCGGTCTGACGTTCTAACCATTGAAGCATACTGGCCATGGCCCAAGGCTTTTTAAAGAGATCGGGGCTCAGGTGCAGCGACTTGCTCCAGGTCCCACACGCAGCAGCACCGGCTTTCCATTTCAGGTTCACTCACTGCACTCTCTCTGGGCTGGGCTGGGCTGGGCAGGGCAGGGCAGGGCCCGCGGATGGCACCAGTTCCGGGTCCGCCGCGGGAGTGAGCGCGTGTCCCGGGCGGGGCGGGGCGGGGCTGACCCCTCCCAGCCCCAGCGCCTTCCGCATCCGCGCTCGGGAGGTCCGCGGGCACGGCTCCTCCGAGGCCGCCCGCTCCCGCAGCCCGGGGGCGGACGGTCAGGTCTGGGTGCGGGCGTCAGTCCTCTCCCGGTGCCAGCTCCAGCGCGGACCGGGCCGCCGCGCGGGGCACCCACCGAGCGCGGCCCGCCCACTCCGCCGGCCGCCGTGCCCGGCCCCGCCCGCAGGCCCCGCCCTCCTCAGGGCCCGCCCCTCACTTCCCCGCTCGGCGCCCCGCCCCCCCGCGCCGCGCTCCATACTTGGCGATCGCCGCGGCCCTGCGCGCTCATTGGCCGAGAGCCGGCTGCGTGGGGGCGGGCCCGGGCCCGGCCGGGGCGGGGAAGGAAGGTGGCGGCAGCCCGGCGCAGGGGGGAGGGGGGCGCTGACCCGGATGTTCACTCCTGGGCACCCGGGGAAGTGGAAGCGCCGGGCCCTGCTGCTGGGGGGAGAGCCACAGACGCCGGGACCGGGACCGCCGCCGCCGCCGCCGCCATGGTAAAAGCCCGACGCCGGCCTCCCCCCGCCCCCGGGCCCCCGCCGGAGCTCCCGGCCCCTTCCCCGCGCCGAACCCGGTCCGTGGAGGGTGGGTTCTCCCGGGTGGGGGAGGGGCGGGGTCCCGGACCTCAGGTGGACACACCATCCCCGCCGGCTCCGGAGGGGCCGCCGGCCCGGGCGGCTCGGTGGGCAGCGCGACCCTGCCGCCCCTCCCAGTCCCCGTCCTGGGCGTCCCACGCTCCACCTCGGGGTCCAGGCTGGGCTCCCTCCATAGCTCACACCGGACCCTCATGGACCCCGGGCCAGGCACCCCCTCCGGTGACCCAGGAGTGCACGTCCCTTCTCTCCATGGCCTGGGCTAGGTCCCCATGCCTCCTGCCTGTAGCCTGGGCTAGGCCGTCGTTTCTCCCTCCCGTGGCCCAGGCCAGGCCTCTGTCGCCATCCTCTGTGGCTCCAGTCCGGACCCCGTCAACTCCTCCAGGGGCCTCAGCCTGTACTTGTTTCCTCTCCTCCAAGCTTCAGCCTGAATCTTCTTTTCTCTCTCTGCTCATTCGTCTGGACCTCCTCCTCCTCCGCCCATGCCTCCGCTTGGACGTCACCCCCCCCCCCCCCCCATGATCCCCTTCCCAGGACTTCTCACCAGTCTTGAGAGTTGCCCTCACCAGCCCCCTTCTGTCCTGGGGTTACCCCTCCCTCCAGGGCCCTGCTCCCTGCCTTGCCCCCGGCCCAGGTGGTCCCCCCCTTCCCCCTCTAAGCCATCTCTGGGAGGCGAGGGGAGCTCTCCAACCCGGAGTGGGGAGGGGGGTGGTCCCGGGGTTGTGCTTACTCAGGTTCGAGGGTTGCCCCTTCTGGGAAGCCGTCTGGGAGGGAGCGGAGGAAGGGCGGGCATCTGTGCCCGGAAGGCAGCGCGGCGCTTTGCGGGCCCTTCCGCGGGCGCACGGGTGCGGCGCTTGCAGAGGGTCCTGCCGGCGGCCGGGCCTGAGTGAGCGGAGGGTGAGGGTGGGGGAGCCCACCGGACTGGGGTGAACGCACAATCCCCCTTGTGATGAGGCCGCAGCCCTGGGGGGAGCCGGCGGGCCCCGAGGGTCGGGGCAACATACGGCCTGGACACGATGCACGCCAGCAGGCGCAGCCTCCCTTTCCCCCTGAACTGTCAGCTCGTCAGGGTCGGAACTGCTGATTATGGAGGTGTCTTGGATCAGGTGAGCTGGTCTCGTCTCGGAGGGAGAAGCTAGCTCCACTCGTGGTGTTTGTTTTGGTAATGAAGGCGGGCGCTCTCTTGGGCCCTCTGGCTGGCCCGGTGGTTTCACACGGGCTCGCCCATGTGCACCTGCTCTCCTCTGCACTTGGCAGCCTCGGGCAGAGCGGGGCCAGCGCCTCGGCTGGAAGGGCCGGAGGGCTTCTGCCTCACATGGCCAAGGAGCTTTGGGAGAGGGCGCCGACAGAGCTGCGTGTCCACCTGCTCCTCCCTCCCAGGCTGGGCAGATATTTGCATGTGGACTTTGGGCTCCAAAGGGCTTTGAGGATATTGGTTCCTTGTTTAATTAAGGGATGTTGCTGTTAAACGAGGATGACTAATTCAGACTGTCCAAGTTTTTTTCTTGATGCCTTCCTGTATATTCATTAAAAACGTGGCCGATGCCGATTTCCATGCCGTTGGTCTTCTCTTCATTGGCAGAGAACTGGCTGCAGGGGGTGGTGGCCCAGCCCTAGGCCTGTGTGGAGAAAGGCCCTTCTTCACAGAGTTGGGTGAGGACTTTAAAAGTGGAGTGAGGTTTTGTAAATTTTTCTTAGGACAAAAGCCGGGGAGAGTGGGTGGGGTTGCCAGGTGGGGCTACTCAGAGCTGGGAGGGGCATCTTGCCTTAGCCCTGGGCGCCAGATCCTCCAAATGTGATGGGAAAATGCCCTTACATGACCCCAGAGGCTTCTCCAGAGGTCCGTGTTGGGCCTTGTTTGGACAGTCTGCAAGGACTGGGGGAGGGATGGAGGGAAAGGGCTCCCATATCTTGGGGGGCTATGAGCTTCATCTATATCAGTTCATCTAATCCACATAGAGCCCTCTGAGGAATTGCTGTTTCCATTTCACAGGAAAAGAATTGTGCTGAGACTCAGAGGGTTGGATAACGTAATCAGGGTGCTGCTCAGTCAGTGGAAGTACCCTAAACCTGCAGGCTCTAACTTTATCCTTCCCGTTGTCCCAGGTGGCTTCCGTGTGGGAAGATATAAAGAATGCTGTTTGAAAACATAATAATGGGGTGCTCAGAGATGCAGCATTTACATCGTCCTCTGCTCTACCAACTGAGCTATTGAGGGAAGCACAGGAACATTTATTGACTGTGGATTGTGTGCTGGGTCCTTTGCATGGGACCGCGTTTAATAGTGAAATAGTAGTACGGTGATGCGGGCATAGTTAGCTGGGGCCAGAACGGGAGTTCTTTGAGAGTAGGAATTTTTGGCTGTTTTCCATGGCTCTATCCCTGGCTTGGAGTGCTCTTTTTTGGGGGGTTGTCTATGTCCATGAACTTAGTCTCTTGGGGTTCATACTCAGTCTGTCAATGACTTGTTCTTAGTACAGCCCTCAGTTGATAAGTAATTTCTGACTGCTTATTGTCAAATTTATCCTCTACCCGAATACTCTGACATAAACTGTGTAGACATAATAATGGGGTGGACAGAAGTGGGGGTATGGGGTTGCAGCATAGGTAAATGAATTATGAACACTATGGTTTTTAAACGAAGAGCACATAGCTAGATTTCCGTTATCCATGGAGGAAAATAGCGGTTTGAGAATCTGAAATGCATTGGACTTTGGAATAAATTCCATGATTTTTATTGGCATCAGTTAAGAATGCATAGGCAAATGGAATTTATGTGCATTCTCTTAGCAGGTGGTAATCTTACCACTATAAGTGCTTTATAGTTTAAAGCATTTTTCCTTACACAGCTCTAGCTTCTAGCTTAGGAATTATCCTAACTTGGAGTTCTGATTCTGGTACTGGTGTTGGGCTGTCCCTGGGAAGGGGCAGGTGAGGCCCCTTATGAGTTGGCTCTCTGACTAACAGATGGTTTTGTCTGACAGAAGCTGATAGGTGATGCCTGTCATATTATTACAAAGTGAAACAGTATAGTTAACACTAATGTGTCTTGGCTGGTCTCCTGGTATGGGTAGATATTATACATCCCTCATGGATATATACTGCCCTGTTCATTTCAATCATTGGCCTCTATTTGGTGGAATGTTTGAAAAAGTAGCCAACGATTGATTGTTTGAGATTAAGGAGGTGATAAATCATACATCCAAAAGCAGATATTCTTGTTTATAACTTGGAAGTCCTGTATTTCTCTTACATTCTGTGGGGAAGGGAGGGGACAGATGACTGACAGCACAGAGAAATGGCTGGGGAGGTGCATCGACCATTGAGACGCCCGTTTCCCAGTTGGGGAAATGTTTGCTGTTAGGCAAATGCAACTTAGCAATTGCAGAAGTGTGTTGGGGCTACCTGAAGCTATAGGATAGCATTAACTCACTGTATTGGCATCAGTTAAGAATGCTGCTTTATGTGCTGAGGACACAGTGATGAGCAAGACAGGCAAGGGTCTGTGCCCTCACAGCTTCCATTATTGGGGGTGGAGGAGGGGCACATTTCATATGCCTGCAGTCTAAGGAGGAAGAGCCTTGTTTAATGTAATTATAAGCACATCTGTGTGAGATATGGCAGGAGGCTTAAGAGAAAGTTGGGACTTGCACCAGGCTTCACTCCCAGATCTTTTGGAGCGGTACCTGCCCTCGTCTCTGCCATCACTGGGGAAGTGGATTGCAGTGCACATCATCCATTCCTCTGCAGAACAGAAGCTCTCCCATCCACAAAGTCCTACCCTTCTAACCTAGGTAGCTACCATTGACAGAGGGTCTAATGTGACCCAGAAACGTGACTAGGTTATACCTTATCCTCCGTTTTACTTAGAAGGAACCTGAAGCTTGAGTGAGAAGTTGAGTGACCAGTGTGAATGGCAGGCTGGGATGCAGATCTGGTTCCACCTGATACCTGTGTGGACGCTCACTGCGTTCCTCAGAAACAATGAGCCCGGGCTGTAGGGGTACAGGCTTTTGTCCCATTTCTCCTTGCAGCAGATCCCAAGGAAAGTAGGGTGCAGAAGCCCAAAGGATGCAATGGCAAGATCACCTGTATTAGGACCAGCTAGAGCAATGCTATTTCCAAACCTGGCCTTTACAGGTTAATGCTTCGGTGTAAGGAGGTGGACACGATGTTTGTATAACACCAGGTATGTGCCATGCACTGCACTAGGAGCTTTAGCTTAGTGCAGTGGTTGGCAAACTCATTAGTCAACAGAGCGGTAAACCGAGGCTCGTGAGCCGCAGTTTGCCGACCACTGGCCTAGTGTGTCCTCCTGCAACAGCCTGGCCATCAGGGTTCAGCATAATTTAGGAGGGAGGCAGCATAATTTAAGAAGTTAGGACTTAGGAGCCAGACTGACTGCCTTGGGATAATAGTACCTCCTAATAAGGCTTTTGTGAGGATTAAATGAGATAATAATGCATGTCAAGTACTTCAAACAACATCTGGCACATAATTATGTGAGTATTAACTATTATTCTCATCACCATTTTACAGATGCGGTTCAAAGGGGTATGTGGTTAGTCCCTCTAATAGGGGACTAACCACATACCCCTTTGAACAGCAGAGGAACTGGGTTTTCTGACTCTGGAGCTAGTCCCCGGAGTCAGTCCTTACTGCCTACTGAAGGCTTATTTCAAGTTTGCTTGGCTTTGGGCCATGCCTTGAAGGAAGACTTTCCCTAATGGAGCCTGAGGCTCTACTTCACCACAGAAGTCAAGGCTCCTTGTGCCCTGGACACCACCTGTTGCCCAGCCTGGTGCTAGGTGTCAGGTCTATCCTGTGCCTGGTGGAGCCCCCAGGCTTGGAAGAAGAGGGACAAGACTGGGGACAGCATCTGGGAGCTCTGTGAGAGTAGGGAC